GGGAGTGCTGCTAATATCTCTGTCAAAGTACTCAGCGAGAGCAGGTATCACAGACAAGATTTTCCAGTTGGATTCAATAAATCAAAACCATGGCACAACTATTTTTACTGCATCTTTCATGCAAACATCTTTCCAGATGGCTTTGGACAGAAAGAGGAACACGTGCACAGAGGAGCTGCCAGTGGAGGAAGAATAGGGATTCGCATGAAGGGAGGTGAGGAGAGATGAGACTCAAGAGTGACAAGATATGGTCAAAGTAGTTTTGAGCTGGGAAATATATATCTAGTCTGATGGGATACAGGGAAACATTTTTTCCCCATGAGGACAGTTAATCAGTGGACCAGGGACCCAGAGAGGGTGTCCATCTCTGGGGGTTCATTGATTCCTTCAAGCCACCTGCTGCAGGCAGCTAAATCCCAGACAGGGATGGACCAGAGAGTGCATGAGATGACCAGGCTCTGAGAACACACCAAAGGTCTGGCCGTGCCTTACACCTTGCATGGCTGCCATTCCCGGTGGCAGGGAAAGATGTGTCACTGCTGGGTGACTAAAGGACCCCCAAGGCAGATCTGCAGCTGGGGTAGGGCTTCTTATCAGGTCAGCCTCAGTAAGATGTGGGCAGATGCTTGGAACTATTAATGAAGATTCTTAACACCTGTCAAACACACTACAGCTCGGCAGCAGCCAGCTGTGGAATCACTTGTTATTAGACCCAAATCCTGGAGGTGTCACAGGTGATTTAAATGTGATGTGACCTTAGAAGATACCTATCCTCCCTGCACACTCATTTTTCTTTTGTGTGGCAGTCTCAGGATCTCTTTACCCAAGAAAAATGTCAGCTTCACCTTCTAAAAACCCTTCCTGCTCTCCATAAAACAGCCTTGGGTCCCTGTCCTCCATCACCTTGACTACCACAGCACCCTCCTGGACACACTCCCCATCCAGTCACAACAAACTTGGTTTTTCTCCTTTTCCATCACCAGGACCCATCCATGACTCCATTCCCACCCACCTCTTCAAACTCATCCTCTCAACCGTGATTTTCCACTCTGCTTTCACCAGCAGTCTAGCCCAAACATGCCCAGATTTGCACCTTTAAAGTTGTGGTGGCCAAAAGAGATGAAGGCAGTTGACACAAGGTGGTGGCAGTGCCTTCCCAACCCTACCACCTCCCAGCCCCCAAGTATCACACAGCTCCCACCATCAGTCTATCCAGGCTTGAAGTTCACTGCCAGGAGGTGTTACAAGAGGGTATTTTGACAGATGCATTTGAAACAAGGGAGCTGTACTGAACTGGAGATTGACAGGAACAAGCTTTTCATAGTTTTGTACCTTTTTATTTTTTTCACTGAAATGTGTCCTAAAAAAAATTGTTTTAACGGGAGAACTTCCTTTGGATTTGTCTTCTTCCACTTTTGGGCTTCCTTTTTAAGGAAGCAAACAGAATATAAAATCCACTGGAAGGAAAAAGAAATCATGGATATCTTGGAAGCAGAGTATTTGTATTGAAAGGTGGCAAACATCAGCAACATTAAAAGTCATGTTTAAAAATGACCAAGTGGAAAGTTATAAAAATGAACAAGTCTTGTGTGAAAATAATGAAGGGAATTTCAGGCACAATAGAATTCATCTGTGAAAATTGCCAGGAGAGCAGAGAAGACATTTCTTTCTCCAAAAGCAAAATAAAACGCTATTCACAGTAATTCATACTAATTATTAGACTTAACTAGTACTAATTTTTACCCAGCAGTAATTACTATTTAAGGCTCCAGAGCTCTGGAAAAAATATTTTCTGGGTGTGGCGAGATCCTTGCAGAGGAATTTGCTCGGTGTTTGTGGACAGCCTATTGAGGGAGAAGTTTTATTTCTTCTCTGCACCAATACGGAGAGACATAAATACCACATTCTTATTGATGCAAATAACGTATTGCTCCTGTCAGAACTGACAAAGGCACTAATTTAAGGAGCGTTTCCCTCTCTGGTACACACAGGAGCATTTTTTAAGAGATTTTTGCTCTCCCCCTGGGATCTGAGTTCCCAAACCAGGTGAAAATCCGCCAGACGATCTCTTATGTTTGATTGCATCTGTGAAGAGCCTGTGGGAAACATATGCCAGAAATTATGCTAACGACCAAGCATAGTAAAACTTGCCAGGTAAATGTGGCAGTTGTAAGCAGAAGACAGCCCAGATGCCGTTTCGGGATCCTACCCTCCATCACAATGGTCCAGAAATGACTCTTGGTCCCATGGGGATTTTGCAGCAAACTACTGCATTCAACTCTAGCCCAGATTTTCATTCTCATTCTTTAATTATTATTTTGTTAGCACGGGGACTGATATGTCCCCTGAAAGCTGCACAAGGGATGGGCAACGTTTTGGAGGCTTGTTACAGGTGTAACCCAATGTCCTTTGCTAAACTAATTTTATTCTTTATATTTAATTACAACAGTGATTTCTAGAGCATTGATTTTCCATGAAGTCTTCCTGAATGCCTCACCACTGTCCTGTGGATGGAATTTCTAGGCAATGCCACAGGTGCAACAAATATAAGGGGACATTGAGCCAGCAACAAACTTGCCCAAAGCCATGTCCTTTTCCCCAGCTCTGTGCTCTGGTTCTGTCCTTGCCTCTGGCACTGGTATTCATGTGACTGCTGGTGAGACATATCAGGAAGATCAAAAGTGGTTGAGAGGGAAAAAAAATTGTGTTTAATGATATCAGTTGCTTGGTTTAGTTCACCCTGCGTGCCTGTGCCACCAGGGAGATGGGTATGAAGTGACAGCAGAAACTCTCCATCCAGGCTGGATGAGGGTGCTGCTGCCTGGTCCTTGCAGAGCTGTAATTTCTCCAAGCCTTACCTCCTCCACCCAGAATCATCCCCAAAATGGCAGGGGACACACACACAAAAAGCAAGATGCTCACACCACAGCCCACATGGTTTGCAGCCAATATGGATGAAGCTAGGAATTGCCATTTTTGCAGTTGCAGAGGCTGCTGAGTTCAGTCTAGCACCCCTGACCCCTGCAGGGGATCTCCTCAGGTGCGTCTAAATGAGGAGCTCTCACCCATCCATAACATGAACACCTAGAAAATATCTAGAGAGCAGGCTGAGGACATTGGACTGCATCCACTGAGATGGCAATGAGCCTGCAGGGGTCAAACACCAGTTCAGAGATGAAAAGGTCCTTCCGGAGACCCCAAGATCAAAAGGCTAAAAGATGAATACTAGCTGATGGCTTTACCCTGGCGTGGACTGGAGGTGATGAGTGTACCCTTAACACCTGCCTGCTATTCCCAATTGCATTGCTGACAATGGAGAGCTGGCCATTTGCTCTTTTCTTTAAGTCCACTTTCTCTAGAGAAAATCAATCAGTCCACCAGTCAGTCAATCAGGCAGTCAATCAGCGAGTCAGTCAATCTGAACTGCTCGGAAAATGGATCCTGCAGCGACCTGGACTCCCACTCAGAGGCCTTGTGAGCTTTGCAGGAGAAATCCCCGGCTCTGAGGGAGGCTGAGACCCTCTCTGGTCTAGGGAACAGCTCCAGCCCCTGCAAGGCAGCAGCTGCCCTAACCAGTGGCACGTCCAGATTCTGGTGCCCCTCCAAATCCCTGGAGCAAAGGACTCCCCGACTGGAGATGGCCCCTCTCGGGGGTCCGAAATCCTCCCCCCACCACAACTCCCCCGCCTTTGGGACTTGCAAGGATTGCTGCTGCTGACATCTAGTGACAGGGAGAGCCGGCAAGAGGAGTTACCTGAAGCTCTGACAAAGCCTTCCCCACCGAGGGAAAAACCTGCTCAGGGTCTTCCCCAAGGAGGTGGGCTCACGGCAGGGGTGCTCGGGGTGCGGAGGAGGCAGCGCCGGGCCATGACGGGCTGCCCGGGATGTCCCAGTCCCTACGATACACCCCAAGACCTTTTCCTCCCCCAGTGGCTACCCGAAGTGGACCGGCGCATCCTACCCCCTGCCTCCCCACAACCTTTCCTGGTCTATTCGACTCGTTCTCTCTATGAGTTTGCTATCTCAAAGGAGCACGGGGAGTGGGAAAAAACCACCCTAAGGGGAGCTGTCGGGGTTGCAGCCAGGCAAGGGTAGGCGGTGAGGCGGCTCCCAACCCTGGCTGCCCGCTGCCGGGTGCTGCCAGCCCCCGGGCTGCAGTCCCTTCACGCACGGCTCTCCCCGGGGACGCGGGGAGCCCCGGGCACCGCACGCAGCAGAACCGTCCGCTCCGAGCCGGGGAGAAGCGGGAGGCAGGCGGGGTGCTCGAAACACGGGCGCTGCAGACCACATCCCCGCGGGTACGGCGGCAACCCACGGGGACAGCATCTCCCAACCACGAGAGTGGACGAGGGCTGCCTTGAGAGATCAAACAGGGATGGGACAGACAGCTGGGCTCCTTAAGATCCCGGTGCAAACAAAAAAACCCTGAGGACAGCTCCATTTTTGGGGGGGTGCGAGGAAATCTGCAGCCGGACCCCCTGTGCGCACACACACACACACACGCAGATGCTGGGCTCAGGACACGGACACGGTGCCGCACGGCGCAGCGGCGGAGCCGGGGCTGCCAGCCCACTCCCACCGGTCCCGAAACCCCGACATTTTCCAGCTTCACCACCACCGTGGGGCTGCCCGGCGCTCTGCAAAACCTGCCTCCCCTCCGAGCTCCTCTTCCCCAGCAAGTGGAGCCTTAATTCCCGGGGTAAATTTAGCCATTTTCCGCGGCAAAGCAGGACTATCCGGAGTGACAGAAAGAAAGATCCCAGCGGTCGGGTCCAGCACAAAAGAGATAACAGAAAGCTGGGTGATGCTACCCCAGGGCTTGCCACTGCTCCTGGGGTGCTAGGGAGGGGGACCCCTCCCGCGCCCGGGGGTGGCCGAGAGCGAACCCCAGCAGAAAGTTGTCGTCGTCCGTCCCCCCCCCCCCCCCCCCCCCCCCCCCCCCCCCCCGCCCCTCCGC